TGATTAGGGCTGTGCGATTTAGTGAAAATATCTACTTGCAATTTTTTTGGACAGATATTGTGGTTTCGAGTTGATTTGCGAGTCAAGCTTAAGCTCAATAATCTGTATCGTGGCTTCTTACTGCTAAAATTCAATTTTACATTTATTCAAATTAGATTATAAATATTCAGATATTAAACAAATAATCTTACCTAACCTTTCTTGTAAACAAGTTGATCTCAAACGAGGGAGATAGTGTAGCTTTTTATAAAAACAAAACAAAAACAATAATTTTATAAAAATAAAGAACACTCAGCAATCTAACATGGCTGAAACAACCAATTGTACTTTGAAATTGTATTTTGTTGTTGCTTGCTACTAGATTAAGTGTCCCTGGCAATACATTCAATTGACTTTTTAGCAAGACACTTTTTTTATAGCCACCTGCGGTGCTTTTTTAGATGCTGGTTGTTGTATTTTCTCGTACTGTGGCAACAAGTCTATGACACTTTTACAAATTATCTGGGTTTTGTTTTTGGTTTTTGGTGTCTGTGACTTTGAAACTAAAATATTCTCATATTACAAATGTCCTGTTTTTAAAGTGCTATTAAAGCTTCAGAAGCAGCAAACGGCCCACTTGTCTGCACTTTCCTGATTGTTTCTTTTTTATTGTGGGTGTTCCGCATGCAGTTGTGCAATTCTGATTGGGCAGAATGCAAGTGTGATCACTCAATTGGCTAGTAAGACTATCACACGCAGAAAGCAATCTCGCAACACATCTGAAGCAATGCACATCTAGATTGAAGTCAATAAATTGAAGTCAATAAGTAATTTTTTAATACCGATAAAATACTACATTTTTCAGCAAAGGCACAATAAACTGATTAACATTTACTGTAGATATATTATATATTCATAATGCTTCCTTTTTAATTATAGTAAATTTTGGTGATTCTTACGCAAAAAATATCACCAATATTTTTATTATTATTGTAGGATCATGGGTGCTCCTAAACTAATTTAACTTTGCTATCACAGGATACACTTAAATACATGTTTTAAATAAATAAATCAACTAATTAATTGATAAATAAAATTATAAAAATTATAAAAAGCTAATTATATGAACATAAAAAAATGTAATAAATGAAACTACATCTGCCATGATGGTGGCGCAGTGGGTAGCACGATCGCCTTGCAGCAAGAAGGTCGCTGGCTTGAGCCTCAGCTGGGTCAGTTTTCATTTCTGTGTGGAGTTTGCATGTTTTCCCCATGTTTGCATGGGTTTCCTCTGGGTGCTCTGATTTCCCCCCACAAATCCAAAGGCATGCACTATAGGTGAATTGAATAAGCTAAATTGGCCGTAGTGTATGTCTGAATGAGTGTGTATGGATGTTTTCCAGTGATGAGTTGCAGCTGGAAGGGCATTCACTGTGTAAAGCATATGCTGCATAAGTTGGCAGCTCATTCTGCTGTGGCAACCCCTGATAAAGATACTAAGCCGAAAAGAAAATGAATGAATGACAACAAAATCTGAGCATTTTAAAAAGCGGTTACAACTCTTTTTATTCATTTAAGAGCAAACTTCAGATCTAGAGATGCCAGTGTAGCACTAAAAGCTGCACTCTGAAATGAACATGCCATAAAGAGACGACAATTAATCACCTCTCTAATTCCATTTCAATTGACATGGCAACATTTGGCTTTTCCCTCTCCATACCTCATGGCTGTGCAACTGCACCAACTCCTAAAGCATTTTGTGAGGGTTGGAGAGGATGGAAGAGGAATTTAGTGGCGGATAACCTGAATTTAATTTCCAATTGCACATCCTTTGCTGCCAGCAAATCCCACTCTATGTTTTTGAGATGACAGGGCTGCCCAGTCACTGATTGCCAGAGGTTAGTGAGATTATGAGCTTATCTTCAATTTGCTTACATTCACATTATATAAAAATGCAAGGCCTGAGGTATAAAGCCTTGTAATGATAGCAAACATTTTTTTGCAAATCTCTTACCCCATCTAATCTCCAACAGAAATCAGTTGCATAACTCTTCTCTAAGTGGGCAGTGGTGAAATGGAAAGGAGAGGGACAGGATAAAAGGGGAGAGGCACACCCATTGACAGAACAGAAATCAGAAACAGGCGTTGTTTTTTTTTTTTTTTGTGTTGCTCTAAGTGGTAAATCAACCATTTTTTATTTATCTTCATTTTCGTAGGGTCTGGACCAAACAAACTGTTGCTGTTAATTTATTTATTTTTGTTCACTTTTGCTCTTCCCTTTTTGCTGGTGAACCAGAAATGTTTAAGTCGGCTGTTTATAGAGAGCAATACGGTCTTGAATTGTGTATTATAAACATTTCAGTTATAACCGTAGACTTGTTACATCAGACAAATTGCCAAAACACAGAAACGCCAAATTTTACCCATAAATAAAACTAGTATGAGGGCTAGAGCTGGGGCACAGACTGCTGTTTATCAGTGGCTGTTCATTATTGGCTGATTATTGCTTGGGAACAGCATATGCCAAACTGCGAGATCTTGATAACTCAAAAGAAGCAGGACTTTCTGCTAATGTCAGATGAAGGTCAGATCTTTAAATTAGATTAGATTCAACTCTATTGTCATTCATCACACATGTACAAGTATAAGCCAACGTAATGTACTTTAGGTCTAACAAGGAGTGCAAGACCAACAAGTGCAAGATATGAGTAGATATGCAATAGAAGTGCAATATAAGACTATGGGTAATATTTACAGATGGACACACAGTGTTTAAATCGAGAGGTGATGTCGGGGGGGTGTATAGCGACCCCCTTATTGAAAAAAAATGACAAAAAGAATCCGCTTTGTAAAACCAGCATCTCCCCTCTTACCATCCCCTTTACATTAACAACAGTGTGTGTATTGTAAAAACGTATGCAAATTAAATATTAAAATTCTCCATTTATGTTAATTTCTGACGCATAAACAATGATGACTGCCCAACCAGAACTCAGCCTTGTAATAAGGCACCACACATGATTTTCAAAATGTCTAAGAGAGCAGTTCAGATTTTTGCATTCTTTTGCACAACTTTTTGCATTCTTTAAAAAGAAGAAAACAGAAGGTATGATATTTAGTTGTTTAATATATTTAGGCTTTACCTGCCATGCATATTTGCATTTTAGAACAGTTTAGGCGGCATGAAGCTAGTGTACCTTAAGCAGTTTTATATTCACTGCAAAACACATATAACAGTGTTCGCTAACATTTATGTTAGCAACCCAAGTTTTGCTGTTTAATATCCAAGTTACAGCAGATTTTAGGTTCCCTGTTTCTAAAACGAACCGTTATTATTATCCCCAAAATCAGAACGGAAATGATGTGATGCATTTTTAGAACTGTTGTCCAAAGACTTGACTCCACCTACTGGCGGTTTTAGCCTCAAATCTCATGACACTTTTATTAATAATTTCATTGCATTCATGCCACCACCTATGCATGGTATACATTCATTCTTCCATAGCAGGGCGCCATGCCAAAATTCATCCCACCATGGCTACATTACAGCTTCTCATTCAAAATATTTAATTTTTTTTAATAGCGGGTGATAATCGCACCAAAATGTATTAAAAGGTTATGTGCTGACTGACTGACAGATGCGTGATGCCAGCAAACACGACGTATAGCCGTTTCACTTTACTTCAGGATGCATTAATATCGCTCTGTTGGTCTATTAGAGACATTCATAAATATTCCTAGCAAATCTAATAAATGTTGGAGACATGCTCGTTAAATAAACGTTACATAAATCACCTGCCGCCACAGCTGGAAAAAATCCTGGAAACACTGCTATGCCTTGTTAAACAGTCAATTTATAAATAAACAGCATATTCATCTAAATGCTAACTTTGCTTTTTTCCTTTGCCATCTTTGTTGTGTTAAGAGGAATTTTGTAGATTTAATCTGATTGAGAGATTCTTCCTGTTATTGTTTCAGTTTATATTAGACAGCACATGTAGTTGGGCCATATAAGGAAAACAATGTTGTAAATAAAAAAGCACATTTATATTTAGTCAATGAAACAGTTGCTGTTAGTCACAAACTTACATTGTCAATTAATTAATTGTGACTTTTACTTTCATGATTTTCGAGTGGGTTTCCTCTGGATGCTCCGGTGTCCCCCACAAGTCCAAAGACATTTGATACAGGTAAACTGGGTATGCTAAAATTGACCATGGTGTATAAGTGTGTGTGTAAACAAGTGCTGGATAAGTTTGTGGTTCATTCCGCCATGGCGACACCAGATTAATAAAGGGACTAAGCCGAAAAGAAAATGAATAATTGAATGAATGAATGAATGAATGATTTTCTTAAAAATGACATGCTTAAGATTGTTAATGGTCAGTGGTTATTTAAAAAGCATTTTCTCAAATGTACAATGCATTTAGATCTATTTTGTTATCATTGTGTGTGTGTAGCTACAGGACACCACAAAAACTGCACACACTCACCATACCGCCCCCTTTGCATTCATTTTTTTTTTTTTTTTTTTTTAACAAATCGACCACTGAATGTACTATGAACATGCACATTTGCATTAGCTATTTAATATAAAATTTAGATTTACAAATAGATTAACATACTGTACAGGTTGCTATTAATAATCAGGAATATGCAAATAGATATGAACAATATACAGGTTGTCATTTGCCATAAACAGGAATTACAAATAGATATGTAGATATGGATCATATTTATACCTTAAACAAACCACCTCTTCAGCTGTGTCTCGGTCTGTTTGTTTGGAACACGCCAGAATGCCATTGCTCTATTGACAAAATATCTCCACCAAAGTGGGAAACGAACTTGAGTTTAAGTTTGAATTGTACCAAACAAGAGAGGTTGGAAATGCACCCTTAAAATCAGCTGATCTCGGTCCTGGATTTGCATACAATCTGAACTGCCATCATTTTATTTGACAAAGTGTGCAAAAGAAGCATTAACAGAGGCCACAAACAGCACAGATGCCATATGGAAATCTAATAAATGTTGACCTTTCTTCTTTTATTACTTTGATAATTCTGTGAAGGCAGCGCAGTGACGCAGTGGGTAGCACAATCGCCTCACAGCAAGAATGCCGCTAGTTCGAGCCCCAGCTGGGTCAGTTGGCATTTCTGTGTGGAGTTTGTATGTTCTCCCCGTGTTTGCATTGGTTTCCTCTGGGTGCTCTGGTTTTCCTCACAGTCCAAAGATATGTGGTAAAGGTGAATTGGGTAAGCTAAATTGTCTGTAGTGTATGATGTGTATGAATGAGTGTGTAGGGATGTTTCCAAGTGATGGATTACAGCTGAAAGGGCATCCGCTGCATAAAACATATGCTGAAAAAGTTGGCGGTTCATTGCGCTGTGGCGACCACAGATTAACAAAAGGATGAATCCGAAAAGAAAAATGAATGAATGCATTTTACAAAGCTAATTTATGCTTTCTTTCTTTCCTGCATGTTTAACACCAGTACACAAACACACACACACACACCCTTTTTACAGTAACCACCACTAAATGTCCATACCAAATCATTATGTCCATGTCAAATCATTTAGTTTTTACTTTACATCTTAAATGTAATATAGCCTAAATTACAAATCTAGTTTACCAGATTTGCAAATTTGCTTGTTCAAAAAAGTAATCAGAATCATTGATCAAAATTAAGATTGGTGTACGACAATAAAACAAACAAAAAAGTTCTACTGTATATCTACATAGCAGCTTGGAGAGTATGAAAGTCCGTGTGGAGTTGTCTCTTTGCTCAGTCTCTTGTCTGCCTGTTTGCTCAGTTGCTCGGCAACAGATGTAGCCTACGGACATCTCTACTGGTGCTGCCTGTAAGAGGGGTGTGTGTTTGTGTACTGTTGGGAACCATGCAAGAGAGAGAGAGAGAGAAAGCTGGAAGTAATGAGAGAAATGTGGCTGACGGACGACAGATATAAAAGGCTGGAGAAGGAAAAGAGAGAATGTACATCAAGAAAATGTGTACAGAGAGAGGGAGAAAAAAAAAAAAATGTTTCCACTCACTTGGCGAGATGCTTGGTAACCAGACTGAGCACTAATCTGTTCTTCTCTGGCAGTTTATGAACCAGACAGTGTATGGCCTGAACTCTGGATTCTGGACTAGCGCTCTCTAAGTAGATATGAAAAATAACAAAAAAATGTTTTAGAAGACATTATGAAACACTGCAGAGATAAGACTTTATATATTTTCTTTTACAATAAGACCGACATATGTTTCAAAATCAGCGATAAACAGGGTTACAATTTATCCTTGGTTCTGTTGGTTTAGCTCAAACTGACAGGGAGTTTTTTTTGTGCTTTTTTTTTATATTTCGATGCAAAACCAATATGGATCAACATTTTATAAAAACCATTTGTCTATAACAATAAAAATATACAATAATAAAAAGCTGCAATAAATTATTCATAATGTAAACATCTAAAACATTTTTTTTAAGGTTTACTTTTGATTAAAAAAATAAAAATAAAAATGACCATTTTTCAAGGATGCAAAAATATTTCCTTTAAAGTCTCTCCACATAAAAACGTCTGATAACATTAAACATAAAACATTCCACAAGTATGTGTTTAACAGTTTGGTTTCTGTTGCAATATTGACATTCTTCTACTTTTAATAAATGTTTATGAGTAGGTCTTGTGTGTCCAATATGACATCTTGTGTAAACTCGTATAATAATAATCTAAACTTAAAAAAAGATTTTCTTAGCTCAAACTGACAACAAAAAAAACTGGCACATGCAAGACAAGTAATTTCACTGGTGACAGTGCACCCCTTTATCAGTCATTATTGATGATATAATAGACAGTGCCTATTAAAAACAATCATCATACCCAATGAAAATCTATACCTTTACTCACATTACACCCTGTTTTCAAAAGACCTTTGGGATAATGCAGTAGAAAGGTAGGAAAGGTTAGAAAATGGCTACAAAAACATTTCAAAGGTCAGAAAAGTTATTTGGAATGTGATTTGATTTCTGGCTGTATGACCAGTAAAGTAATTATTTCAAAGGTGTATGATGATTTTCTACAGCCACTGTATAGAATTGTATATTTATAATAATAATAATAATATAAAAAATAATTTGGAATTGTGTTGAATTCAAATAGACCGAAGACATGCAAATCATTGAGAAATTTTTAACTTGTGAGGACTATCTATATTGACTGGTGTGGTGTATACTGCAAAAAAGGCTTTTATTAACTTAAAAGCCTGTTTCTAGTCCATATATATATATATATATATATATATATATATCTTATATCAAGAAGCTTTTTCTAGCAAAAAAAAATGGTCTGTTTTCAGATATGTCAAAATAAAGTATATTTACCCTTAAAATAAACTGCCAATGAGGCAAGCAAAATTCTCTAATTACTGTATTTCATCTTATTATAATAATCCGCCAATGGAGAAATCAAAATTATCTCATTTCAAAGTGAAAAAAAAAAAACAATTTCAATTTCAATAATTTCAAACCCACAGACAGATCATTTTGCTTGTTTTTATTTTCACTCATTATTTCTCAATACAAAACAATACTTTTGACTTTTATAGTAAATGGTTCTTGAATTAAGAAGTTGTATATATTTGGACTGGAAACAAAGACAAAAATATTAAGTAAGAAAACCTAAAGCACTTCTGCATATGCCCTCTAAATAATTACTTAATTATTCTGTCGTTGCACATGGAATATTAATAGGCCAGCCACTATCTTACAGCTTTAACCAACACCTACACTCACCGGCCATTTTATAAGGTACACCCTACTTGTACTGTGTTGGTCCCATTTTGTTTTCAGAACTGCCTTAATCCTTCATGGCATATATTCAACAAGGTACTGGAAAATTCCATCATGCAGTTGCTCCAGATTTGTCAGCTGCACATTCATAATGCCAATCTTCTGTTCCACCACATACCAAAAATGCTCTATTGGATTGAGTCCGGTGACTGTGGAGGCCATTTGAGTACTGTGATCATATTGTCATGTTCAAGAAGTTAGGTTGAGATGATTTGCGCTTTATGACATGGTGCGTTATCCTGCTGGAAGTAGCCATCAGAAGATGGGTACACTGTGGTCATAAAGGGATGGACATGATCAGCAACAATACTCAGGTAGGCTGTGGCGTTGACACAATGCTCATTTGGTACTAATGAGCCCAAAGTGTGCCAAGAAAATACCCTCCAAACCATTACAGTCAATAAACAATAAACCAAGGTCCTGACTCTCTGTGGTCATTAAAATCCCATGGCACTTCTCGTAAAGAGAAGGGTTGTAACCCCAGTGTCCTGGGTAAATTCCCTCTCGGCCCTTAACCATCATGATGGGCTCCCAATCGTTGATACAAGGCAGGATGTATCCATGCTTTCATTTTGTCAACGCCAAATTCTGACCATATCAATCCAAATGTCGCAGCAGAAATAGAGACTCAGACTAGGCAACGTTTTTACTTCTAATGTCTAATTTTGGTGAGCCTGTACAGATTGTAGCCTCAGTTTATTGTTCTCAGCTGACAAGAGTGGCACCTGGTTCGGTCTTCTGCTGCTGTAGTCCATCGGCCTCAAAGTTGGACGAGTTGTGTGTTCAGAGATGCTCTTCTGCAGACCTCGATGGTAACGAGTAGTAATTTGGCATCAACATGGCATTTGCGCCCACAGAACTGCCACTCACTGAATATTTTCTCTTGTTCGGACCATTCTCTGTAAACCCTAAAGATGGTTGTGCATGAAAATCGTAGTAGATCATCAGTTTCTGAAACACTCAGACCAGCCCATATGGCACCAACAACCATGCCACATTCAAAGTCACTTAAATCACCTTGCTTCCCCATTGTGATGTTTGGTTTAAATTGCAGAAGATTCTCAACCATGTCTACATGCCTAAATGCATTGAGTTGCTGCCGTGTAATCGGCTGATTCAAAATTTGCGTTACAAACAGTTGGACATGTGTACCTAATAAAGTGGCCGGTGAGTTTATATTTTCTGGCTGAAGTTATTTTTCTAAATTCCTTTACTAAATTAAATTCAGCCACACTTTTCTAAAAGCATTAACCCCATTTAGAATTCTCCAAATCATGCACTCTTTTCCCAGAGACATTCACATTTTCTAGGTTTACAGCATTTGTCAAATAATTGATTCGTTTTGGGTATTACTTGATTATTGTCAAAGCAAGGACAAAGACCTTACTTGCAGGGACGATGAACTCCTTATACAGCTCGTATGTCATTAGAGGCTCTGGAAGGCTCCTTGAGAGAAACAGAGGGGGAGAGATTTATTGGCTTTATTGGGCATTATTATATACACAACACTATGATTAATGTGGCTGATCACGGCAAGAAATTAGACGAGCACACAAACGCACATACACACTGTTCAGGACCAAGTTCATCTGAAGGTACATTCGCTCAGTGTCTGGCACCCGTCCCGGCAACGTTAGCCCAAAATGAGCCCAGCAAACCAACATCATTCATACTTGTAGTGGAGTACAAAGACAAAAGTGATGCCCTCCTATAAAATCTGCCGTCTGCTACTTTATTGCACCGCATCAATCAGAAAATTAATTGAATGTTGAATTAATTAATTACATGACACTGGAAGGAATGTCCCACTGTGAATCTGACAAATCATTTAAAAAGCATATTTCCCCATGACACATTTAACAGTTAACATTTATTCATTCATTTTTTTTTTTCAGTATAGTCCCTTATAAATCAGGGGTCGGCACAGTGGAATGAACCACCAATTATTCCAACATATGTTTTACTCAGCATATGTTTTACTCAGCATATGCCCTTCCAGACGCAATCCAGAACTGGAAAACAACTGTAAACATTTATCATTATTATTATTTTTTTTTATTTCTATATATTTTTTAATAACAAAATTTGGAGACACAAGGTTTTTGTGTTTATTATCTGAAAATGTATATATAATTAAAGTAGAAACTCACCTCAGGTAAAGTTTTAAAGCACTGGTGATAGTTTTGACATCCCAGTCCTCATTGGCTGATAAATCGATGTCACTGCTCTTCTCATCTATAAAAAAAGTAAATAATAATAATATTAATAATAATAATAATAATAATCAGTTCAAAAATGCTGTAAAAAAGTTAATTTGATCTTTATTATAGGGAGAAATCTGTAGTCGTGGTATAAATGACACCAATTTGTGTTGGTTACAATTTGCAAAGTTAATTATTCAAATACATTTTGACATGATAAGCATTAAAATGGTTAAACATGTTTTTTAAAGATTCATTGTTTTGTAAAAATATACATAACAGTTTGAAACAGAATAAAGACACTGTTAAAAAAAAGTTAACTAGGCCTTTATTTATTTGACAAGAAAGTAAAAACTGCAATATTGTTAATATTTTAAAAAGTATTTTGCAAATTTAAAACAAATATTCCTTTATTTATAACAAAGCCATATATTTAACAACATTCTTCGAAATCAATCTAACATGCTGATCTTATGCTCAAGAAACATTTAACACCATCAATGTTAAGACCAGTTGAGCTGATTAGCATTTATTTAATTATTATTTATTTATCAAGCATCTGTATACATTTATATATAATAGCATTTATTGTAATCTTACTGACAATGTACTTTTCAAAATGCACTAACATTTAAAAGTACTATTAGCACATAAAAGGGAATTAAAATAGCAGAAATAAATGTTGACCATATCATAAAACTTTCAACTCTTTATTTAAGTGTACTCTTTACTGTGCTTTCACAGGCGACAAGATCAAAGCAGCTGGAAATCATTTATTTCCAAAGTGAGCCTATGGTGTTTTCACTGGTGTGGCCATCAAGGAGGGTTAAAATCAAGTCAACTTTACTATAGAAAAACAATTGGAATGTTGAAGCCCAGCGCTTGAAAGGATTCCAGAGAACACAGTCCTGTAAACTTTGGTTCTGACCAAAGTTGTTACCAAAGGTTTAAATATTGCGGTCGGCTGATTTCCAATTATTTACATTGTTTTCTTACAGGGACATACATTAAAACAAAAAAGTTGATGTGCACACACACACACATATATATATATATATATATATATATATATATATATATATATATATATATATATATATATATATATATATATATATATATATGTATATAATCTAAATACAAGATCAATGTATCGAATTTTGATGCTCTAGCCGGCAGAGCAGTAAAAGGCAGACATCGTTGTCACCAGGGCGGTCAGAGTGAACTCCTATGGTGAACACCTATGGTGTGAATGCATTGTTAAATGTAGCCGATACCATGTCGGAATAATACACTGTAAAACCCAACAGTCAACTTTGTCAAATGAAATAAGTGTAGTTAAAAATAAAAATGTAAAGTTGATTCTAATCATTTGAAAAGAGTTTTGAACTCAGTGTTGAAGGCAATGCGTTGATTAAATCCCTCATTAATTCAACTTAAATTGAGTAATTACACAGTACTCATAAAGATTAGTTTTTTTTAACTCAAATGGTTTGTTGCAATCGGTTTCCTCAAACGGTTTGAGTTGACTTAACTTATTGGGTTTTATATTACTCAGTTGGTTTGAGTTCTTTTCAGTTGGTGGATTTTTTCTGTGCTCAGATTGCTTCATTTACTCAAATGGATTAAGTTCACAGTACTCATTAGGATTAGTTTTTGAATTTAAATTGTTTGTTGCAATCGTTTTCCTCAAATGGTTTGTATGTGTACATAAAAACTAATAAGTCTAACCCAAGCCATAATCCTAACTAGTGCATGTAGTTGAATAATATTAATCTTGATGAACAAATGTAAAATTCTGATGTAACAAACACTTAAGTGTAACCTACAGTTTAATGTCACTTTATTAGGAGCTTAACAGAACATTCCATAAAAATAAAGTGCAACGTGAAAAAGTAAAGAGAGAAAAGCAAAGAAAGGTTTGAGGTCAAGCTGAGGAGAATAAAAAAAAACATCTGGAGAACTTCTTTATTCAGCTGTATTTCTCTTCCACACAGTGTTGTAACTATAGCACTTTCCTACTAGGAGGATGATCAACGTGTATGTAAATGTGCAAAGTGTAAAATGATCTGCTTTGAGTTTGGAGCTCCAGGCTTTGGCACTTTTGAAGAATTCAGCCGAGGCACTGACAATCACCTCTGTGTCTGGCTTGCTGTTACCATGGTAATAAGCGAGAAAGCTTTTATAGAGCACTGCAGACAAAGTCTAAGGTCACGTATGTACAACATTGTAGTCATTTAAGTCAATTCATTCTCAATCAAAACTGAGAGGCTGCTTGAACCATTTTGTGCTATTTGAAAAAGCGGAGAAATTTTCCTTGGCTTAAAACCACAAGTCTAATGGCGGTCGGCAGTGCTTGACGTAGCACACACATCAGTACTCGAGTAAAAGTGCAGATCCACTTATAAAATATGGCTTCAGTGTAAGAACTACTTTTCAATTTTACTTCAGTAAAATGACAAACGTGCAGGATTTGTTCAATGTTGTTAAGGTAAAAGTGAAAATTACTAACTGATGAAAATGTTTTTTTCTTTTTTTTATTTACTGATTTTTAACCAAAATTTGTCACACTGAGAGGTATAGAGCCCAGGAAGCGACCTCAAAAGAAAATAAAATAAACATAACAAAACAAAAAGTAAAATAAACAATAAAAATAACAACAAAAAATCTGTTGAGATGGTTTTGCAGTTTGTCCCCTCAATTTATAAACCAAACTCATATATCCTTAGACGGTTCCTTCAGTTGTAACATACAATGTCCACAGATTAAACTGCACCCATAAATTTCCAAACTGCATTCAGATTTGCGAACAAAATGCATGCCAACAAAATGTATAATAGATGCAAACACTTCTACAATCTATTCACACTTTTTTTTTTCCTCCATAGAGGTGATTTTTTTTCAGGGCTCCATAGTTTGTGATAATTAAAAATAAAGTAAAATCATATAGCCTAGTTTATAATAATTAGACCCCTTAATTTTTCATGATTTTGCGATCATTGAATCCAAAGCAAAATCAACAAAAAGTCACAAATTTCTGCAAAATTCTTAATTTTTGGAAGCAGCCTGTGCAGTAAACAGATGCAGATGAAGTGGTTTACATATGAAGTCAACGCAAAGATGGGATTAGACAGCTTACAGTAAGGCACAAAACTCTTTCCCTGCAGTTAAGAAGAGAAAATGGTTCCCAGTGACGAGTTTTACGAAAATCCGTGTTTTAGGTGTATAACTGTAGGGGAAGTCCTAACGCATTTCCTATGTGTGAGGTACATGATGTCATATGCTCTGGGGAGTGAAATCTGAGAGAGAGAAAAAGTAAGTTTGTGGAAAAAAAAGAAGAGTTATACAACCTTTCTTGGCTTAATCCCTACCGCTTTAGATTTGTTTTAGATCTTGACAAGAGACAAAAATAAAGAAGCTTTGTATTTATGATTTGTGTCATTGTTATTGTGTCAGATTGCACACCTAACATAGTTGTCTAACTAATATGGTAAATAAGGTATATAATATATTTTTTATGTTTATATTTATATTATATATCGCAAAATTGTCTACAAATTTCTAATTTTACCACCACAAAATCAGTCATTTTATTCGCAAAAACAAAATAAAAAAATCATGAAAAACTATGGGGTCTGAAAAATAAACAAACACAAAATGTTTAAATCTCAGTGGACAAATATAGTGGACATCACACATATTAAGAATTGTGTTATGTTTGTTGTGTACTGTTAACTTTGTAATGGCATTTGTGTGTGACTCATCAATTCAGAAAGGCTTGAATAGACTCCACTACAAATACATCAGATAAACTTACCTAGCATATGTGACTAATAAACTGGATCTCTGCTTTATCTGCGTCACTGTCGGTCACTGACTGCTGTTTATCTAACATAATGCAGGAGAAGCAGACTTGTGTGTGGGAATGGAGGGCGATGAGAACCAGCTTGTTTGCATTTGAAGGCATAGGCTACAAAAACAGCTACACTTTCCTCTAAACCCAAAATGGACATTTTCAGCAATGTATAATAAATAATCTGATGGGCATTTTGAGCTGAAACTTTGCAGAAATATAATGGAGACACTAAAGTCTAATCTTAGATCTTGTAAAAGGGGTAAAATGGGTGCACTTTAAATAAAAGCCCATCCCATTTGTACAGTACTAGCTAAAGAAGAAAATATCCACTTGACTATATCCTAAAACTCACCATTTACAAAATCTTTTCTCCAAGCTCTGAGAATCTCCAAGAATCATTCTTGCCTTATTGATCATCTGAATCACTAAGTTGTTAACTGATTACCTCTGATAAAGTCATTGCTTTGAACTGGACCACATCTCCAAATTACAGAAATAAGGAAGGACTTGTTGTAACTGAAATGTAATGGAATAAAAACTTTTGTGTTCAGTGTTTTGTTTATTCCACTCTCCTGTCACTGTTGTATCCATTCTTGCCCTGCAATTAAGTCTGTGTTTATTGGTTAATTTCCCTGCCAATCATTCTTCTGAAGCCATAAGCTCCACCAATCCTCTGTGCTGGCTGAAAGTTAGAAACTAATTGAGTTTTACTTTGCTGTTTTATACATTTCACCGTATTTGAGCAAAAGCTCAGCTTTTTTATTTTTTATTTCATTATTGATCATTTGTCCCACACATTATTCATTGTCTCACTTACACTGCCATCCCTTTCAAACATCAAAAACGCAACACTTTAAAGATAATGTCATAGACTAATAAAATGAAAACATTTCTCTCCAAGTCAAGTGCTGCAACCTTTTCTAAACTCTCTGACCAACATGGCTGTGATAACAGCGGGGATGCACCTTTTCAACACTCCACTGAGAAACCAAAGTGTGTTTACACTATAAAGCAGACCCACATTTATGGCATAAAGAGCAGAGAGGGGACTGAAAAAGATACTGACATTCTCTCAGTTACAGTTCTGCTCTTCAAACCAATCCTCAGACAGCCAGTAAGAAACAGAAAAATATATAGATAAATTATGTTTAAAGTGTTTTTGAAGTCTTCATTCATTC